GCCGGGGGTTTCAGAGGGTATTTTAGTACTCGTTGTACGCTCTGTGCTGATCCCAACGGAAAAGCAGGAAAAAGAACACACAGAAAAAGGAGTCGAAAAGGAATGGAGATGGATGTGAGGGAGGAAGACCAGGCTTCTTGAGAAAAAAACCGTTGCGATTAGCAATCCCGGTAAAGTCAACGGAAGACAGGGGGGCTTGAATTTAAAGGGCGAACTGAGCTGCCACTGAAGGGGCCTGGAAAACAGGGGGTCCCTGATTGGGTTTTCACTGTACGTACAGCACAGCAGAGCACAACAGGACGAGTCAGAAAAGAACGGGATGATCAGGGGAATAAAAGAAGGAGAGGGTGTCGTCTAGAGAAGGGAAGAGATCAAAAGTATCTCTTAACAAAAGCTAGTGGTCCATAGGGCGAGTCACGATACTGAACGACCCTTGGCGGTGATGTAAGGCGACTGGTCCCCAAGTCATGCTTAACGCCATCTACACCACACGATGATATGCACTTGTGAGCTAGCGTTGCCCCAGAAGGAGTCTTGGAATGCGGGAAGGACAACGATTCTTGATTTATCGAGCAGAGGTGGATCGCATGGTTCCAGTTTTCTCGGGGCCCGCGATTCTCTTCTTCCTCGGTCCGGTCTGAACAAGCTCATACTACGTCGTTGAAGAAGATGGTTATGAAGCTAAAGATTGTGACGGTAAAAACTCTTTGCTTTTTAATCTGTAGCGGTGAAGTCCCTTGAACACGGTAGCAGTAGCACCTGTGGCTAGCCGCCCCTCCATCAAGCCATCCTCAGCCAACCCTACCGAACAGGGCGAAAGAACTCCATAGTGGCGATGCAAACTTTCCGTATTCTTATTTCCGGTGCTGATTATTCTCTAAAGAAATCTGCAGGTACTGAGTAATGCAACAATGCCGCAATAACTGTGATTGCAAAGTAGCAGCAATGTTGGGCCGTCATATCAAGGCCGTTGATCCCTATTGACCAGACCTCCAACGGCCAATGGCTGTGTAACATTGATTCACCACAACAACAGCGTTACTTCGAGAACCCACGCAGTGCAACACTCAATGCGTCCTGGTCTTCCAGGGGTCTGGATCAACACCCCAAACAAGCTAATCCCCCAAAGCAACCCCGGATTCAGCTGGAGTCACTGACTGATCTCATCCACAGGGGCTGAAGACCCTGATTCTGCAGGTCATTAACAGTATTGTCCCTTTACGAGTGGACGATTCTCAGCCTGAAACTGTTTGCAAGAAGATTTGCGCGCATTAGTCCCTGAAATCCGTAAAACAAAAAAAATCTGACGGATTGGAGGAAGTGATCGACAAGTCGATGAGAAGAACTTAGGTTTGGCTTACAATTGGTGAACCGGGCATTCCGATACCGGTTCCTTGGATCCAGTCAGCCACGGCTGGGAAATTCTCCATATGGGTTGACCTGGATTTCTGTAAGCTCGAATTAACTTCAGCCTGAAGCTTCAAGTCTTGAAGGCCTAGGCCTCAACAGTTTGGCCAAAGTGTCCTGAATCTGGACGTCATGGCTACCCTACGCAACACCCTGCTTAAGGACGGCCATTGCTATCTCCAAGACAAGTGCTATAACTCGTAGATTGGTAGGTCTCAAGTTAAAATATCCAATATTGCATCTCAATTCCAGCAATCTTCACCTTTGTCTTAGGATGCAGCCTCTCCGGAGCTTAATGCTGCAGGGCTGTCGTGGGGAAGACAGTGGATCAAGTTTTTCCCGCGTCAAGGATCCATACTGAAGTTTTTGAGTGCTTGTTCATTATCACCACGTAGCAACACATCAAAGACTCAATTCACTTTGTGTCATCACATCAACTCACCTTCATCATGGCCACTCCAACTCCGAGGTCCTCCCAAGTGGCTTTTCGCATCCATCCCATCTACCGTATCTTCTTCCTCATTCTTGAACCCATCTCCGCCCTCACCGGCGCTTTCTACACTCACTTTCGCCAAGGAACTTACCTATCTCTCCTTCACGCATCTTCAGCACCAGCGGAAACACCAAAGGCTACATCTGTAGCTATGTCGCAGCTCGCCAATATGTTCTTCTTCTTTGCGCTCAACGAAGCGCTCGTTCTGCGATCTACAGCGGATTTGCGGGTTTGGAGGACGGTCCTGCTTGTGCTACTTATTGCGGATCTGGGACACTTGTTTTCGATGAGTGAGCTTGGGCCGAGTATTTATTGGGACGTCATGGCGTGGAATGCTAGTGATTGGGGGAATGTGCCGTTTGTGTATCTTGGCATGACCATGAGGGTGAGCTTTCTGCTGGGAATTGGACTGGGAGAGTCGAGGGCTTTGAAGAAGAAGGATTGGAAGAAGCAGTGAGCTTTTGGGACGGTTATAGCGAGGTTCGGTATTTGGGCATGCGAGATTTCGGTTTTTGTGTCCGAATTTGTGGTCATGAGGAGGAATGACTTGGATATAACTTGACTACACCTCGACAAGACATGATATAGCAGGTCTAGAACATATGATGACCGTATGAAAGGATACCCCCATCAGGACAAATGGAACTATAAAATACACCTCTCAAACCGACTCTTTACAGATCGCCAATGCAGCTCCTCTCATGCTACCTCATCCCCCACGATTCTTGGTGGAGGAATTCAGACTCCGCCGACCCACGATAATCCGAGCTTCACGTCAAAGAGTCATGATGGCCCCTCAACCAATGACATGCTCACATCGGCTATCGGCTATCGCATGTCGCCTGTCTGCAATTCGGGCATAGCGTCCCGAAACCCCCAATCTCTCAATGCGACACTTCAATTCCTCCCCCCAAACCGCGTTGCTTACTCGAATCAGATGATCTTTCATGATGGAGGGGTCGTAGTAGGGAAAAAAGTGCCCCTCACACGTAACGGATACGGTAGTCAACGCGATGAGGGGTGAGCTCTGAGGTTGTTTCGACGAGTGGGGGTTTTTGGTCGGCTCGTCGTCATGAAATGAGCTTTATAAAGGAAGAGAAGCCCCAATTGACTTGTTCTCAATTGTCTCTACTCTCTCTTTCTCGTCATCTCAATACTCATACTTCACCATCATCATGTCTGTTCCCGACAAGTTCCAGGGCTTTCAGTCCCCAAGCGCCGAACACTGGACCGACTTCCAGAAGAACTCGTTTGAGCCCCGTCCCTTTGGCGAGTACGATGTCGACATCAAGGTCGAGTGCTGCGGTGTCTGCGCCAGTGATCGTCACACCATCAGCGGCGACTGGGGTGGCTGCCCTTATCCTCTCGCTGTAGGCCACGAGGTTGTTGGCAAGGTTCTCCGTGTTGGTGATAAGGTCACTCTCGCAAAGGTCGGTGACCGTGTCGGTGCTGGTGCCCAAGTCTGGTCGTGTCTTGAGTGCCACCAGTGCAAGAACGACAATGAGACCTACTGTAAGCACCAGATCGACGCCTATGGCGCTGACTACCTCGATACTGGTTTCAAGACCCAGGGTGGTTACTCTTCTCACAGCAGAGTGCATGAGTACTGGTGAGTACACTTGTCCGCCTACCCAATTGATCTCATTGACTTACAATTCATAGGGTCTACCCCATTCCCGAAGCCCTCTCCAGCACCCAAGCTGCTCCCATGCTCTGCGCCGGTATCACCGTCTACAGCCCACTGAAGCGTCTCGGCGCCGGACCCGGCAAGAAGGTCGGTATCGTCGGTATCGGTGGTCTTGGCCACTACGGTGTCATCTTCGCCAAGGCTCTTGGTGCTGAAGTCTGGGCCATCTCCCGTTCACGAGCCAAGGAGGCCGACGCTCGCAAGATGGGTGCCGATGGCTTCCTGGCCACTGGTGAGAAGGACTGGACCAAGGGCCACGAGATGTCCTTCGACATCATCATCAACACTGCCACTTCTTTCGAGGGCTTTGCTCTCAGCGAGTACCTGAGCCTTCTCGATGTGCACGGTCACTGGAACTCTGTTGGTCTTCCCGGTGGTGACGGTATCTCTATCCGCAACCAGGACTTCATCACCAACGGCTGCTACATCGGAACATCGCACTTGGGTAGCCGACGTGAGATGCTTGAGATGTTGCAGCTCGCTGCTGACAAGGGCCTCAAGTCGTGGATCGAGGAGATTCCTATCTCCAAGGAGGGTCTTCAGCAGGCCATGGAGGCTCTGAAGACGAGCTCTGTTCGCTACCGATCATGCATGACCAACTATGAGGAGGCCTTCGGTGCGTAAGCGTGTGGAAATGTGAAAAAATAAAAAGAAGGAGTTTGTTGGGAGTAGCATTGGGAGTTATGAATGAGTTAATGGTGGAGCTGAATGCTCTTGTTGGCGCGCATCAAAGACACCTTGATGGGTCGAAATGACGAATAAGTCTAGTATGATCTATGCGATCATGCCTGAATGAAATGATGAATTGAACATGATGGAATCTATCAATTGTCTCTCTCCGTGGTCGGACACGATTGTAGCTTTAGTTCGTGAGGTGGATAGCGAGTATTTACAAAGCAATGATTTCATAATCAATGATTCCATTTCTGCTTTCTAATGGACCATCACGTAGTCTGGTTTTGGAGTTTTTGGCCCAGAAGGCTAGACCACTTTCACTTATACTCCCCGCATAGCAAAGCAACTCATGGGGTTGTGGGG